ACATTTAGAACACAATTCCGATACTCCCTCGTAGCACTCACAGTGCGGTCATCCGCAATCTCAACCTCAAGCGGGGAATCCAAAATCCCTGGCGCATCCCGAAACTTCTTGCTAAGTGCAAAAGATACAAACGATCGGGTAGCACCCGAATCGAACAGAACATGATCCGACATACCATTGACCAAAAAGGTCCTTATTACATGAGCACATATATACACATAAGCAATACAAATCAATATCAAGCAGGAAAGATAAAACATGTACCAGCCACGACATCTGGTGCTGCCCGAGCCTCCTCGGTAGTCAACTGAAATGCGCGGATCTTCACCGCTAGTTAAATGGTTACCCCAATTTGATCATGAGAATCAATTGTGTGAATCTTGCTTGGTGGGCAAGCAAACAAGAAATTCATTCCCGACTATGATGACATACAAAGCAAAATGACCATTGTAATTAGTTCACGGTGATTTATGTGTCAAGGGTCAAAATCGGTATGTTTTCACACTAATTGATGAATTTTCACGAGTTATGTGGATTTATCTCATGAAAGAGAAGAGTGAGGCGTTTACACACTTCAAAAAATTCAAAGCTTTGGCGGGGAATAAAATCAGAAAGTCTTTGAAATTTTTTAGAAGCGATCGAGGAGGTGAGTTTACTTCTCTCGTGTTTAATACATTTTGTGATCAAAACGGAGTCAAACGCCACCTTACCGCTACATACTCTGCACAACAAAACGAAATTGTGGAACAAAAAAACTGAACACTTATGGACATGACACGAAGTATAATGAAGGCAATGCATGTTCCAAACTACTTATGGGGAGAAGCGGTAAATCACTCTACAAATCTAATTAATCGCGTTTACACAAGAGTCCTTGGTGATACAACTCCATACGAAAAGCTGTATAAAAGAAAACCGAATTTAGAAAATGTTCGTATATTTGGGTGTCCAGCACATGCAAAAGTTGAACCAGTAAATCTAAATAAGTTGGATGCAAGATCAAGACCTCTAGTGCATGTTGGTTCCGATCCGGGTACGAAAGCTTATCGGTTATTTAACCCGAAAACACAACAAATAATTGTAATTCAAAGACGCTATCTTTGATTAAACCAAAGGGTGGGTTTGGGTTAAAGAAGCAATAATCGACAATGAAGAATCGGGCACATTCATAGTACCATGGGACTAACTGGAAGACGAGGCAAACAACAATCAAGGAAACAATGTAAACAACAATCCGATTGAACCGATTTAATCAAATCATGAGATTGGAGACGGAGCGAAAGTACAAGATAATGAACAACCAAGTCCGGTCAATAATAATGTTCAACAAGGAGCTGCAAACCAAAGGCTCTCGAGACGAAGAGTACCTCCAAGACAATTTCAAGATTATGAGCTTGATCGTGATAATCTCGAAGAACTTCTCCTAACAACCAATGACGAGCCGATATCGGTTGAAGAGGCGAAGAAAGAATTGGAGCGGGTCAAAGCCATGAATGCGGAAATCAATTTGATAAACAAGAATAAAACTTGGACTCTCATGAACAAGCCTATGGGGGTGAAGCCAGTTATACTCAAGTGGGTGTTCAAATTGAAGAAAAATGCAGACGACACCATTAATAAATACAAGGCAAGGTTGGTTGCTAAAGGTTATATGCAACAACCCGGTATTGATTTTCAAGAAGTATTTGCTCTGGTAGCTCGAATTGAAACTATCCGGTTTCTTATAGCCTTAGCCGCTACTAATGGGTGGGAGCTTCACCAGTTAGATGTTAAAACGACGTTATTGCATGGAGAATTGAAAGAAACCATTTACGTATCGCAATCGGAAGGCTATATAAAGAAAGACAACGAGCATAAAGTGTATCGCCTTACAAAAGCACTATATGGTCTAAGACAAGCACCTCGAGCATGGAACACGAAGCTTGATGGGATTTTGAAGAAGTATGAAATTTCAAAAGTGTATGAAAGAACCATCAGTGTACCGGAAAAATGAAGGATCTAACTTGTTGATTTTAGCAATTTATGTTGATGATTTATTTCTCACAGGTACAAATTTGAACATGATCCAAAGGTTCAAAGTAGAGATGTCCAAGAACTTTGAGATGTCGGATCTTGGAAGATTGACTTATTACCTTGGCATTGAAGTTAAACAAGAGGAATCGAGGATTACTATAAACCAAGAAGCGTATGCTCGACACATTCTAAAAGAAGCTGGTTTACATGATTGCAATCCGACCCACATTCCCATGGACCCGGGAAGTAAATTGTCGAAGTCTGAAGATAAACCCGAAATCGACCCAACACAATATCAAAAGGTGGTACGATGTCTTAGATATCTCTTGCAAACAAGACTCGATATGACATATGCGCTTGTAGTTGTTAGTCGATACATGCAAAGTCCAAGAGAATCACATGGCGGTGCAATCAAACATATCCTAAGGTACTTACGAGGAACAAAGGGATACAAAATCAAGTACGAGAGGATGGGACAAAACCAACTCATTGGTTATAGTGATAGTAGTCACAATGTTGACCCGGATGACGGAAAAAGCACAACCGGTCACATTTTCTACTACGGGCCATCTCCGATAACACGGTGTTCGCAAAAGCAAGATACTCTTGCTTTATCATCTTGCGAGGCAGAGTTCATGGTGGCCACGACGGCAGCATCTCAAGCAATATGGCTTCAATATTTGCTCGGAGAAATCAAGAACAAAACGCAAGAGAAAGTGGTTCTAAGAGTTGATAACAAGTCGGCTATCAAACTAATGAAGAATCCCGTTTTTTCATGGAAGGAGTAAACACATTCACACGAGGTTTCACTTCATTCGTAATTGTGTTGAAAACGAACAAGTGGAGGTGGAGTTCATTCCCGGTTAAGAACAAAAGGCAGACATTCTTTCTAAACCACTAGCTCGAACCAAGTTCATGGAAATGCGGAGCTTGATCGGAATCGAAGACGTCTCTAAAATGACTTAGAGATTCAGGGGTGATTGTTGGAATCCTAAATCGAGCAGAACTTGGAGACCAAGTAAGAATGAGATTTTAAGCAAGTCGGTTTTAGAGTCCTAATCTTGTTCTACAAGTTGGTAGAATGTAGGTCTATATATACATTGTTTTTAGATCGAGTTATGATCATTGAGAGACATTATAAACATCGTGAGTTTTGAGTGATTTCTCATAATAATCAAAGAATTATTTTGGTTTATTGAGTTTATATATTCTGAACTTGATTAACAGTTTTACCAGGCATTTTCATTTTAATATACATACATATAGAAGATATAGAATCGGTGCACATTATTAATTACTTTCTGCAAGATGTTTTCCTTTAAACTCAACTAGGGTCGGCTCTACCTTACGTTAAACTAAGCAAGAGAATTGGGGCCCCCAATTTCTAGTACAGATTGTTACTTTGTTACGCAGCACAAACCACCACAATCAAACGAGTAGCGGCTAGCGACGATTCAATTTCAGTGTTCTTCTTCCTTCTCGTCTTCTGCTCCTGTCCCTCCAATCTCGATTCTTCAAAACTGATTAACTGAAAGAATGAAAGTCTGAAACGCAATCAACAACTTCTTTATTCTTCCTTCTCGGTCCATTCTCTAATTCTCGATTGAGATTTGACGATTCACGATTGTCGATTGTAAGAAGTAAGAACAATAAATTTTATATTTTTAGTTTTTATGTTTCAAATACATTGTTATTAGGAGTATAATACAACATCATTGCATCAAATATAGATTGACTGATGGTTGTATCAAGAAAATAATAATATTTTAATATTTTAGTCGAAGAAATTTTGATTTAAGAATTTAAGATCCACACACACACACACACACACACACACACACACACACACACACACACACACACACACACACACACACACACACACACACACACACACACACACACACACACACACACACACACACACACCAGTTTGAAATTAAAGAATTTGTTTATAGATTTCTAAATGTTTCAATAATTTGTTTATATATTTCTAAATGTTCCAGTGACTTTCAAGTTTTTCATGTTTGTCATCCACTCCAGGGGCGGCTCAAGTGTGAAGTGTTTGGGTTTGTTTAAAATTTTAAGTTTTCCATTTGAGTCGGTGTGTAAGCAGAAGGTTTTACTTTCAATTTATTGTTTTCCATTTGAGTCGGTGTTTAAAATTTTAAGTTTTCTTCTCAACTCTTTTTCTTTAGGTAACGGTAGTAGAATGTAACTCACAATCTCTAGCTAGGGCACTTAAAAAACATGTTTATTTGTCTCATAGAGATAGATTTTGGAAGTACTAAGAAAGTTGTTTATTTTCTTTTGTTTCTAATAAGACCACAATAATATGCAATACGGATGATTTATTGATTTTAGTCATTATGTTCATCCAGAAGAATCGTTGGCTCATTACAATTGGCCAATTAATCTATCCTTAGGAACCCGGCATCGTTGCTTTCTTTGAACATTGCTCGTCATCCATGTTTTAAAACCGAACCTACTATATATACCTGATAGATTCTACTTTATCTCCATAACTAAAGTTTTCAACGCTAGATTCTTCGCTGTGGAGTAGTAGCGCCTGCTAGTTGAACCCTTCTTTGTGATTGCCGATAATTCTACAGTTTTGAAGAATGATTCCCGTCTTTTACATGTCTGATAGAGAATACGTCTCCAATTTTTTGCCTCTCGATACAGTATTTATGCACTAAACCGAAGAATATATTCTCCACCGGCTTGGTGATCAGCATGAAGATATACCATATGTGTCAACTTGTATTCAAACAAATCATCAAACCCACAGTTATCCAAATACAAATATCCGAAAAGAACTTATCTTTAACATATAATTTTCAATGCCTTTAGATTCTCTCTTTCCCCTAAGTGTCCCCTAGCTATATAAAAAGACGTGAAACTTCAAAGTTGCATAAGCATATCTTACCTCGATCGATCCATAGTTATTTAGCAATCCTGCATATATATATAACCGGTTTCTGTAAATGGATAGAGTGAAAGATTTGGCGTCTAAGAAAGCTGCGGTTATCTTCACGAAAAGCTCGTGCTGTATGTGCCATAGTATTAAGGCGCTGTTTTATGATCTTGGTGCAAGTCCTGCGATTCATGAAGTTGATCATGATGCTGATATGGAGTGGGCGTTGAGACGGTTGGGCTGTAATCCGGCCGTCCCTGCGGTGTTTGTAGGCGGTAAATACATAGGTTCGGCGAAAGACGTCATTTCTCTTCATGTTGACGGGTCGCTAAAACAGAAGCTCATTGAAGCACGAGCTATCTGGTTCTAGCACGTGTCAGCACGTGTGCCTTTTACGTACTAGGTTGAAAGATTTGTTAGAATACTAAAAATGAAGTCTAGGAGCCGTTCCTTTTTGTCGGCTTTGTTGACTGTGTTGTGTTGGAGTCAAACTGCAAATGCTTTTGGTTTCTTCTTTTTATATATATGATCATCTTCTACATTACGAGCATCTTTCGTAGATTTTAAGCCAAAGCTAACAAGAAATGTGTAGTGGTTTTGCTCCACTTAAAAAACAAAAATTGTTGTTTTCCTCAAATGAGATTTATTAATATTCTCGTTGTTCAAGACAAGCTAAATCAACAGAAATATTTCAATAATGCCATATGTTATTTGTTGATGGAAAATGTGATTGTTTTCCTTTTTTTAATACTGGGGTACATGATCAATTATTTGAGTATCAGATTTTATAAGTTAAACAATATTCTGTCTCATAATTAAGTAAAAGTTCTAACCAAATTGTGGATTTTACTTTTAATAAACTATTTTTGTTCCTGTTGTTTGATGTTAAGTATCTTTAAGTAATCTTGTTTTATGCGTGCGAACTTTGTAACAGGTAGCGTTATATAAAGATTATAATCAATTAACCACATTTAAATATTATAATCAATTAACCTCATTTGATTAATGAAGGGTGAATTACTATATTAGGGAAAATTACAACAACTACCCTATACAATAGGAGATAAACTAAAGATGTATAATTGATAATTATAAATTATTTAAATTATCTGCTAATACCCTCCTTCAATCGAACCGGTGGCGGTCCGAGACGTAGAATGGTACAGAAATATTCAAACTAAGGTCGCGGAAGACTTTTGGTGAAGATATCAGCCACCTAAAGATTGGTTGGAACAAACTTTGTGTAAAGTTTGCCTGAACTGACAAACTCCCTGATAAAGTGGTATTCTAAATCAATATGTTTGACACGTTTATGTGAAATAGGATTATGAGTCATAAATAATGCGTTCTTGTTGTCACAAAAAAGTGTAGTACGATCGGGAGCATGTAGTTCCCGTAAGAGATGAGTGATCTAGACAATCTCAGCAGCAGTGTTGGTCATAGCTCTATATTCAGATTCACAACTGAAGAGTAAGATAGTAGGTTGTTTCTTGGCACTCCATGATACAAGATTGCCACACAGGTAGATGGAATAGCCATATGTAGAGCGACATGTGTCTAGGCCATGAGCCCAATCATCATCAGAGTAACAAAGTATAGAAAGTCGGTGAGGCCGACTATAGGTGAGACCAAAAGAGATTGTGCCTTTAACATACCGGATAATTCTTTTAACGACCCGAAAATGATCATAGTTGGGGCTTGTAAGAATTGGGAAACTTGATTAACAACATAAGATAGATTCGGTATGTTGATAGTTAAATACCGAAGCGCCCCAACTACGGAACGATATAGAGCCGGATCTGAGTATGGCAATTCATCTATTGTGAAAGATGGATGAGGAGGTAATGGAGTGCTTATCGGCTTAGGTCATAAAGGTCAGCTCTAAACTCTTTTTAGAATATCAGTAGCATACTTTGACTAAGTGAGAAAAAACCATTGTCCATGTAAGCAACCTCAAAGCCCAATAAATAGTTTAGATCTCCAAGGTCTTTAATAGCAAACTCTTGATTTAAACGAGAAATAAAAGTGGCAATGATAGTCTCGACATTTCCCATAAGAATGAGATCGTCAACATACACTAGTAAGTACATGAGGCAAGAAGTGTTGGTGACGATCAAAAGAGAAGTGTCAGCACGACTGCATGATTAGGAAATTGAGAATTTATGAAACCTGGAGGTTGTTCCATAAATATTGTTTCCTTTAAGGTTTCATTCAAGAAAGCATTTTTTACATCGAGTTGGTGCAAGTCCCAATGATTCAGTACTGCAAGAGATAGAATGATTCTTATAGTAGATGCTTTAACAACTGGACTGAATGTGTGAGAGTAATCAAGGCCAAGAATTTGAGTGTAACCTTGAGCCACTAATCGAGCTTTCTAAATGGTCCCATCTGAGTGATATTTTATGCAATACACCCATTTGGAGCCGACAATATTGTTTGAACTTAGGCATGGTACTAAAGTCCAAGTTTGATTTTGTTGTAAGGCTTGGAGTTCCTCATGCATGGCGGCCATCCATTAGGATCTTTGGTGGCTATTTTGAATCCCCACGGATCAGTAACGAAAGTCAAGGCAACATAAAGAGAATGAGATGTAAGAGAAGAAAAATCAGCTTGATGTTTAGGCTTGAAAATACCAAACTTTGACCTTGTTATCATCGAATGACCCAAATTAGAAACTGGTGATGACTGATTTGTAGCAACATGATGGTCTCATTGTGTGTTAATTACTGGATCAAAACTGGAGGGAGCGTCGAGTACTGAGTCATGATCAAGAATTGCATCAAGCGTGAGTGCCTGATGGTTTTGATCAAAAGCTAAAGGGGTTGGATCAAAATTTAGGTCATGGTCGAAAGTGGTTGGCCTATATAGAGAACAAATGCTTGGAACTGAAGTGGATTTATTACCTTCTTGAGCAATTTTCTTCATCATAGGAGGAGATAATGAAGGTTATGGAATATCTTAAATAAATGTAGTAAGTTTCAAGGGACTTATATATGTGTCACATGAAGAACCACTGAAAGGAAATATCGTCTCATTAAAACGAGCATGTCGTGTGACAAAAATTCGTGAAGTAATAGGATCAAGACATCAATGTCCTTTATGTTGTGTACTGTACCCAATAAAAATACATAGAATGCTCCTTCGTGCAAGTTTGTGTTGGGAGTAGTCACGTAAATAAGGAAATACTTGGCATCCATATGTTCGTAAAATTTCATATTGAGGATCTGTCACAACTGAGAAATTTTAGACCTAGTAAAGTCTAAACCCTAACCAAGTACTAGTGAAAACTACATTTCAATCATTGTTGCATTGTATCATCTATAGCCTTAGGACTTGTTTAAATTGCTAACAAAGAAGTATGGATTGAAACCTAAGCTAATTTAGAGTAGTATAAATGAACATAAGTTGAAAGACTAAGGGTTTAAACCATAAATACACCCCATATATGTGTTTTCGGCCATGGGGTTCTAGAAAAAAAGAGTTTTCGCCCAAGAAATCAATTCAAAGGTGGTTTTCGAATTTGGAATCAAGATCAAAAGGTGTTTACGGTTTTGATTAGTTCCAAAAGGGTGTTTTCGTTTTGCTTTTGATCCGAAAACACAATCCAAAGCCCATCAGGGGCGAAAACCCAATAGGATAGAACCGAAAACTCACTAAGGGCCCATTAAAGATTCGAAATCTCTTTTCTCTTAGACTTAGAATCCGAAAACTCGTTACTAGAACATGCCTAATCCGAAAACCCCCTTTATTTACATAGTTTCATCCGAAAACTCCCTAAATATCTTGATATCTTATCTTCATTTGACTTCCCAATGAGATATGGTTCAGTTACCAACGAAAACATCACCCCACCTCCTATCTTCCTTCCTATTTAAGTAAACAAATAGAGACCATACTTCATTTACACTTCCAGCATACGAAAACATTCCCCATTCTCTCTCAAATATCAAACTCAATTCCTTTCATTTGCAAGCTTCAACTACTCCAGGAAACTTTGCTTCAAGTTGATTATAAGCTTTGGTAAGTTTCATATAAGATCCTAGTGTTTTCAAAACCATCTTATGATTATTAACATCTTAACCACACATTAATATGTGTTTAAAACATTAGGATACGACTACCGTTACGTATTCTAAATAGAAGGTCACCGCTTTCATCTCGATATCTAGCCAAAAACACACATAAGGTGAGTTCATACCCCTACACTTTTTATAACTTTTTCTATGTTTTAGGGGGGGGGGGGAAACAAGTAAAACACAAAGAAACTTGTGTGAATATACAAATTATTGTTATATATATTTTATTACATTAAAGTATCTTTACGTAGAAATATCAAACATACGGAACAATGTTATTACTAAATTTACAAACGGATATGTGCAAAACACGTTCAAACGAAACAATTATCATTTTCAACGGAATAATAACACAAACCATTATTCAGGCTTTCTTATCTTTTATATGCATTTTACGTAATATTATTAAATATAAGAAACAACGTTATTACCAACTTTATAAATATTTACATGCAAATTATGTTACAATACAACGGTTTTTCATTCTCATATAAACATAAATTTTAAACTATAATAGGTATAGTTTGGGGAACATTCACATTATTCCACACTTTCAGGGCAAAGAAACGATTATACAAAAATACGGTTACTTTTATATTTTATAAACACAACAAAAAAAGGGTAACAATCACACACACGAGGACTTACAGGTCAAAAACACGTAAACTCGTTGGAAATTTGTGAGTCAATGTCTGCGTCGTACCTACCAAGGTATATCAGCAAGTCCTGTTTTATAACCCGAGTCTCCTTCCGGAGGTGTGATACTTGTGTATAGATCTATACAGGATTGATGACCCCGCGCCCTGGCTGTTAGCTACAACACAACCGGCAGGTTATGGGTGACAAATATCAGACAGTACAACTCTTGAAGAACGTCGCGGCAGGCAATCATTCGTTAGCACGGTTATGAAAACTCACATGATAAACGATAATACGTGGATTTTTACGTGAAAACACATATTTTTAAATAGTTTTCTATATAAATAAAACTAATTATAACTATTTTAAGTATTGAAAATACTTGTACTTTTCGGTCTTGGATCATATTAAACTGCAACTCAACTCATGGAAAATACAGGATTTTCCAGGATAAACATCATTATTTAAAGGGAAAACACGTCTTCAACTAGTTTTACTTAATTTTAAAACTACACGTTATCAAACTAAGTATGTCATTTATACTTACATCTTTCGATCTTGGAACATTAAAGACCACAACTCATCTCTATAGAAAATATAGGATTTTCTGGAAACAAATACGATTATTTACAATCCCATTTTCTAGAAAAATACG